AGGCCGAAGAGGGTAAAAGTCATGACAATCTCGGCAACGTTTATGGCAGTCTAGGACAGTTCAAAACAGCCATCCAGTACCATGAATGTCATCTACAAATTGCTAAAGAGGTGGGAGATAAGGCCGGGGAGGGAAAAAGTTATGGCAGTCTCGGCAACGCTTACGACAGTCTAGGACAGTTCAAAACGGCCATCCAGTACCATCAACGTCATCTAGAAATTGCTAAAGAGGTGGGAGACAAGGCCGGAGAGGGTAAAAGTTATGGCAGTCTCGGCAAGGCTTATCAAGGTCTAGGAGAGATCAAAACAGCTATCCAGTACCATCAACGGCATCTGGAAATTGCTAAAGAGGTGGGAGTAAAGGCCGGGGAGGGAAAAAGTTATGGCAGTCTTGGCAACGCTTATGACAGTCTAGGACAGTTCAAAACAGCGATCCAGTACCATCAACGTCATCTAGAAATTGCTAAAGAAGTGAAAGACAAGGCCGGAGAGGGAAAAAGTTATGGCGGTCTCGGCAACGCTTATGGCAGTCTAGGACAGTTCAAAACAGCCATCCAGTACCATCAACGTCATCTAGAAATTGCTAAAGAGGTGGGTGACAAGTCCGGAGAGGATTTCAGTTATGGCAATCTCGGCAACGATTATAAAGGTCTAGGACAGTTCAAAACAGCCATCAAGTACCATCAACATCATCTAGAAATTGCTAAAGAAGTGGGAGACAAGGCCGGAGAGGGAAAAAGTTATGGCAATCTCGACAACGATTATAAAGGTCTAGGACAGTTCAAAACAGCCATCGAAGTTGGAGACGAGGCCGGAGAGGGATTTATTTATGGCAGTCTCGGCAACGCTTATCAAGGTCTTGGACAGTTCAAAACAGCCATCCAGTGCCATCAATATCATCTAGAAATTGCTAAAGAAGTGGGAGACAAGGCCGGAGAGGGAAAAAGTTATGGCGGTCTCGGCAACGCTTTGCAAGGTCTAGGAGAGTTCAAAACAGCCATCAAGTACCATCAACGTCATCTAGAAATTGCTAAAGAAATGGGAGACGAGGCTGGAGAGGGATTCATTTATGGCAGTCTCGGCAACGCTTATCAAGGTCTTGGACAGTTCAAAACAGCCATCCAGTGCCATCAATATCATCTAGAAATTGCTAAAGAAGTGGGAGACAAGGCCGGAGAGGGAAAAAGTTATGGCGGTCTCGGCAACGCTTTGCAAGGTCTAGGAGAGTTCAAAACAGCCATCAAGTACCATCAACGTCATCTAGAAATTGCTAAAGAAATGGGAGACGAGGCCGGAGAGGGATTCAGTTATGGCAGTCTCGGCAACGCTTATCAAGGTCTTCGACAGTTCATAACAGCCATCCAGTACCATCAACGTCATCTAGAAATTGCTAAAGAGGTGGGAGACAAGGCCGGAGAGGGATTTAGTTATGGCCGTCTCGGCAACGCTTATCGCAGTCTTAGACAGTTCAAAACAGCCATTGAATACCATCAACGCCATCTAGAAATTGCTAAGGAAGTGGGAGACAAGGCCGGAGAGGGAAAAAGTTAT